AACCCCGAACCTCGTACAACTCGCTTTGGTTGTACCCCCGCACCTAGACCTCGTCTCCAGATTCCTGCCTATCCTGATCGTGGTGTGCCTTGGGCTACCCGACCCTCAGACCCTGTCCATTACAATAGCAGGGCCAGAGTCCCATTGGTGGATCCCGGCTGACGATAAGCTGCTGTGTGGGTGGATCTTGGACATAAGCTATGATTTGGCAGCACCCAGTAAAAATACAGATTTAAATTGAATTTGGACACCTGTACCTAGGAATTCTACCTCTCTTCTACTTAGCCTCCTCTTGAACCCATGAACCCTAACCCTGAGCCCTCTGAACCTCATACCTGGTACAACTCGCTCCAGTTGTACGCCTGCACCCAAACCTCACCTCTAGAATCCTGCCTGCTCCGATTGTGGTAATCCTCAGGCTTGGGCTACCCCACCCCTAGACCCTACCCATTACAGCTCTCTTCTTCAAGTTAACAATGTACAACTAATATCCTACTAGTTCTATCCTACGAACCGTGTAGTTCAACTACTAATTAACCCGGTCTCTGATTATAAACAATTCTGAGAACTGATAGTATCTTTTAGTAATTGGCAAAGATTTAATATGAAGAAGTGTGGGATTAATGAATTGCAAATCTATAATACATTATCTTTTACAAGATTGATATCAAGTCTAGGCATTAAAAGACTCTGTGAAGATAAAAGTACCTACTCTATTAAGAATAATATTCTGGCTACAAGCTTAGAGAAACAGTCATAAGTAGGACAGATGATTAAGCAGCCCAGAAAAGCTCCTCTTCTTAAGTAGAAATTACTAAAAACAAGAAAATATAGAAGACAGTAATCATTGAAATCCAAGAATAAACATAGTAGGAAAATCCTATAAATAATCTATTTTCACAAATTTTAAATTATATATATATATTCTCTATTGTAAATAAATTTTTAATCTAATCAACTGATTTTTGAACTTGTTCATTATAGAAGAAAAATGGTTCTCGTATACAGAAAATTGAAAAAAGTATTTATCCTAAGCTTGATTTTTTCTTCCTTCATTATTTTTATTATTTATTTTCAAACATGAGGTGCAGGCTATGAGGAAATCAATTAGATTTTAAGAATCCTGATATTATCATCTCTAGCATTAGCAATCCAGTAATTCAATAAGTTTTCCTACCAGTATCTTCTCTGTCTACTATCCTCTCCCCCTTACTCGTAACTTCCCATGTATCAAGTTCATTGTAAACTCAGAATTGGGCACTCAGTAATAATACTCTTCTTCTATTACCTGTCTCTAGCTTCCTTCACTATTTTCTTAACATTTTAGCCAGTTTAAGATAAACCTTCATATCTAGAACCTCAATATTGCTATTGGAACAGCCTTGTGTTCTATGTTGTCTTTCTATTTTCAGATCTTTGTGGATTCCTACGGTAAGTCCTCCGTTATCTTGAAGACAGATTCGTCGTTTGTAGATTTCCTTTCTGAGGAGGGTGTTGTTTTGTTTTGTTTTGCTGGAATTTTCTCCCGGCCCCCTCAGAATAGGAGATTCAGCCGTCCAGAGACAATTTTCTCTGTGGTAGTGAAAAGCGTAGCTTTTGGAACCGGCCATCAGTGATGGGATTAACGGAAATGGTGATTATCGGTTATTATCCAGAGAGGGGTATGACACTTTGAGTGGATAATTTACTCAAACTCGCCATTGGGTTTTACTATCCGGTGGACCCTCATTACATAGTACTCGTACAGAGATAGCTAAATAGCGCGTGTGAATACTATGTCTACAGGAAGTGGGAGGGGAGCCAGTGCAGTGGTACAGTACCAGAACAGTATTTTTGTTAAGGAAGAGATATACAAGTATATATGGGTGCCATGTCAACATATAAAATACATTAACACTAACTAGACAGAGAGGAAGGGAGCCGGGCGGATAGGAGATACCTTCCCACCGGCGCTCGCGCCATCTATTTCCAAACAGGAAGAACAAAAAGACAGGCATAGTAAAACTAACGCTTCTTCCCAAGAACTCCCTCCATCCTACGAATCAGATTCTTCAATCCAACCCCCTTCTCACAATTCGCCTCCAACCATGTCTCCATCTCCTCCCTGCACTTCCTCACACTCTTGCTGACGGGCATACAAGTGCTCTCTTCGTCCTTAATGTATTGAAGAGGGTTGAGCAGAACATCAAATACAGAACTCCAGATCTCCGTCTGCCAGTAACGCTTAAAAGAACTAGTGATTTTGTACTTCTTGGTCCCACCGCCCAGGATGTTGCCGCGGTCTGCTGTGGTTTCGATGTACTTGCCAAAGAGCATGGAATGGATGATGGCGGCGAGGCCAAAATAGTCCACCTGGTAGGTCCAAGGGCGGAGTTCGCGCATTTCTGCGCAATCCTGGTTGTCTGTTTTCCAATCCGCGATGAATTGAACAGTTGGCTGGAAGAGTTTCATGTCTATTCCTCTACCAAAGTCTATTAGGGTTATTCCCTTTTTGAGCCAGCCACTTGAACCGTCTCGTCGATATCGTGCGGACCAAGTATTATCTGGTGTATTTTCGAAGCGAACAAGACAATTGTCGGCCTTGAGATCGCCGTGGAGGAGGCCCTTGGAGTGCATTGCTTCGATGGTACGTAGGAGCTCGATGGATAGGAACATGACAAATTGCTCGTCCATTACACAAGTATTGGTACCGGTGCCTACTTCTGCTCTGGCAATGTTTATTATGTCGAGGATTGTGCCCTGGTCGCGGTATTCAAGTAGGAGATATCCTTCATCCGGGAAAAGGTGCATCTCGTGAGCCTTTAGGATTGACTCCACTGGTCGTGAGACGCCGAGACGGCGATGGACTTGCCGCATTATATAGAACTCCCAAGGTGACGGTGGGTGTTCCATCTTCACAGCCTCAAAGCGCGCTCGCCCAATTATCTTCTTGCTAAGAGAAAGGAGATCGCCTGCGTTCTCATCATCCGGATGCACTTCTTCTGCTTCGTCCTCGACATCGGCCACGATGTTGTTCTCCACAAGGTAGACTGGGGCAAAAGCACCTTTCCCCAACTCACGCTTAATGGTGTAAGAACTGCCTCCGTCACCCGTGACGAACTCGATGATTGGAGCTTGCGAAATGTTAGCTGCGGTTTTTTCTCCGTCACGTTTCGACATAGCCTTCGCGAATCGCTTGATATCCGCTCCTCGTCCAAACTTGGTTGTGTGCTGGTAGAAGCCTTCGTATGTCTTCAATGGTGGCAGGAGCTTGTCAAAGATATTGGCTCGAAGAGATTCATCCATGGGATTACATTGTAGATCTTTGATTATAGGGCTTTTCTGGGTGGTTTCTTTTGCTCTCGCCGCTGCTATTGGTTTTGTACCAAACGGCTTCCTCTCCTTGGGGGCACGGGCCGGGAGGGCAGATGGAGCGGGCTGGGACTTCACAGGTGGTGGGGGAAGGATAGGGGTGTTAGGGTCATCGAAGGGGCTGCTCATCAAGTTGTCGTCCATTATATCGGGCATACTACTCCTGCTAGGTGTTTTGGCTACATCCTTTCGCCTAGCAGTGGTAGGTGGTAATGACTCCGTCTTTTCGACAATCGGTGTCATATATGGTAGTCTACTCTGCCCTTGGAATTGGGTTTCCTTTGTAGCATGATATGGAGGACGAGGGGGATCGAAAATATCAGGAGGTGATGGGATGGGTATCCTGTGGGGAGCGGGATGGAATGGTAGGCCGGGCTCCTCGCCCCAGGGTGAGTCTCTATGGATCGCCAATGCGCCTCCAGCTTCGGGCTCATCGCAGTGGATAGCGAGTTTCCCAAACCCGACCTCTAGACGCCCGGCTACTTCCCCTTCCTGTTCATGCCGTGGAACGTCCCTTCTCAAGGTAAAGTCAGACCATTCGCTCTTCACACTTTTGGCGTCTTCATCGTCACCCTCGCCATCGTCGCCTTCCTGAGCGGATTCCTCCACTTGTCCAACCTGCGTGCCAATCGTGTAGTCCTCGCCATCACTCTCCATCTCATCGCTCTCACTTCCATCATCATCAGGGCCCTCCCCTGTCATTGAAGTTTTCTTTATAGGTTGGTTAAAGATGTCATATATTTCGTCTGTTGCTGCTCTGGTGTGAAATGTCATTGTGGGACTGGCGGGTGTTTTCCCTCTCCGTCTGATTTTTCCTCTATTTGGAGAAGGCGAAAGAACTGTCTTCACTTTGATAGGAGCTCGAGACTCCTCCATTACCCCACTATGGGTAGCCTTCTTTCGTGGTTCTCTGGCTGCCTCAGCTTGCTCCACACGTATCCTATTCCAGTCGATCCCATACTGGCCCCTCTTGATCGCTCTCAACTCATCAAAAGACAGCTCTTCAGTGGGGTTATCTTCGTCTGCATAAATCAATTCAAGGTTTACAGCAACCCGCTCTGGTCGTTTATTTGAAGGTAAACTAGTAGGTAAAACATTTTGTTGTACAGGAGGAACATTTTGCTTCGGTAGAGACTGGAAATCGATCGCAGAGAACGGGTAGACAGGCGGTATTAGTTCTACTTGCGTAAACATGTAAAATGATGATTAGATGAAAAAAATGATTCATGGTTTTGTGAGGGTACTTACACTCTCGTCCCTGAAAATCATCATTTTCTCTGCACTTTTCGTTTTCACTCCTTCCTGCTTCAATACCTCGCCGGCCCATGGCCGAGCCTCTATGGCATTTTCTTTCTTCCTCTGCTCCAACGTACCAATGCTCTCCCAGCCACTAGTTGGTTTTTCGATGGTATTTGGTGCCTTATTGGTGGGAGCTGCATCTGCATCGGAGAAAATGGCCATCTTCTGCTTCGCCTGCCTTGGGCTTGGCTGCGACCCTTGCGATTGCTGCTGTGTAGCAGGAAAACCACCAGGTCCTTCGGAACCAAACCCCCCACTAAAAGGTTTTGCCGCTAAGGCTGGCCTAACCGCTGGCAAGGCAGGGGAGCAGGGCTCATCACCTGCGGGGGGGTCGAGCTCCAACCGCTGCATATACTCTTCGAACTTCCTGAGAAGTCTGTCCGTAGGTCTGGCATTGTTTTCCATCCCAGTTTGGTAAATCTCACCGGCCTGCCTTTTCCTACCCATTTTTTCAAGCAAAGTAGCGTACTCCTCGTAGAATAAGGCCAGCCGCTGACCGATGTCGTGTCTAGCAAGGAAGGCAAAGGCCTCCCGAGGAGCATCGGAAAATTTTTGGATATACTGAATCCATAGGCGGAGGTATCTTGGATCATTCTTGTAGTGCTGTTCGTGGATGAATGTTTGCGTTGCCCTCTCTAGCAGCTGAAGTAAACTAGAATCTGCGGAGTGTCCAGATGGAAAGGTCTCTTGTGTCCAGTTGACGTAACGAACCCAGACTTCTAAAGGGTCATCCAGGTCCAAAGATCCCCGTAACTCTTCTTCAAACTCTGCTTGTTTAGCTGCATGCTCGGCCCGGGCAAATACAGGATTCGAACGGGACGAGAGAGAGGCGACAAGAGCTCGAGCTGAGCGCCCGGAGGCAATGGGCTGAATATTTTCTTTGTGAAGTTCGATCTGGTTAAAGGAGGTAGTATCGTCATCAGCCATGGTGAGCGCGATTGATGAGTTGAATAGATAGCGGATAGCGTGATTATGAGTAAGGAGGGGAGTGTCAAGGGGTAAATCGAGAAAGGGCGCGTAGACTTTACGCTATCAGTTAGTTTATTTGGACAAAAACAACAGCACTGCCACAGGGCGAATGCGGTTTGTATTCCAACAACCACGAACCCCGAGTGATGAGTGGCTCACCTAGCATTCATCAGCCACTTTTGGCTATTCAACCCTTTCAACTCTAGTGGCAAGTGCCGGGAGTGAGACTGATCATCTTGAGGTCTCGCGTCTCCCCCCAAAGTAGGTCAAAGTCCGCTCCTCCTTCACAAGTCCAAATCGCTGGTACACAGCCAAGATCTACTCCCCGCGCCGAACATGGCATTCCCAGCCCCAACCATTCCTGATCCACTCTCTTCCGACCTCTCGGACTACTCAGAAGTTCCCTACCTCAAAAAGAAGCCCTCGTTTGTTAATAAAGTGTACCCCCCTACTCTGTCACCCACGGTCTCGCAAGTTGTCGCGGACGACGGAACCCTCGAATACCAACAACAGAGCGCGAGGAGAGCAGCAGAAGGGCTTAGAAGGCAGCAACAACCAAAAGCTAGCCTGTCCAACGATATAGAAGGGTTCTCGTCCCCGGAAGAGGAAGACGAGGCTGGTCCGGGTCTCGAGATTGATTCCGAGTCCGAGGATCTTGAAATGGGTGACTATGCGAACGTAGGGGAGGAGGTTACAAGGCGGAGTGGTGACGAAGGAGGGCGAGTGAAGACCAGGAACCAAAGGGGCTTAAGTTTACACGGCGATGATGGTCCTAGTCTTGGTGATCGGTTGATTATGGCAGATGGTGATCGGCCTGTTGTTAGTAAGGAAGAGAAAAGGATTGCGGATGTGAAAGTAATTAGGAGTTTGGCTATTAACGTCATACTGATTGGGCTATGGTAGGCTGGAGAGCTCTGAGTTGAAATGCAGCTACGGTATTGGGTTGCTAACGCATTGCCCCCTCGTTTTTAGGTATCTGTTCTCGCTTCTAATATCTATTGTAAGATGGCCTTCCTCTCGTTCACTCTTTTATGGTCAGCTTCTAAGTCTTACCCGAATAAAGTACAACAAATGGATGTTCGATCCTAAGCACCTCGATTTTAAATTTCCGTTGTTCACTACCTGTACACACATGGTTGTCCAATTCTCTCTAGCATCTCTAGTGCTCTTCGCATTCCCGAAACTACGGCCCGTAGGGTTTTTCGGGAGAGTCACCTGTCCTGATCCGCAATCTGAGGTTCCCGAACTGGATCACTTTATGGGGGCAGGGAATTCTGTCGAGGAGCGGAAGAAGCAACAAGCCGGCATCATGACGAAATGGTTTTACGCAACCCGAGTAGGCCCATGCGGGGCTGCCACTGGGTTGGACATTAGCCTTGGAAACATGAGCTTGAAATTCATTACCCTCGCGTTCTACAGTATGTTTAGTTCACAGTGGGATAACGGGACGGGCAATTTGCTGACTTCGAATAAGCTATGTGTAAATCTTCTGCCTTGGCATTCGTTTTGATATTTGCCTTTATATTTCGTCTAGAGAAGGTGACATGGAAGCTAGTTGGAGTCATAACTGTGATGACGATTGGTGTAGTGATGATGGTGGCGGGAGAAGCAACGTTCGTACCAATTGGCTTCATTCTTGTGATCATGTCCTCTGCTCTATCTGGGCTGCGATGGTCACTCACGCAGATTCTACTATTGAGAAACCCAGCCACCTCTAACCCATTCTCATCCATATTTTTCCTGGCGCCCATCATGTTCATTTCGATTCTGACAATTGCTATACCTGTGGAGGGGTTTGTACCGCTGGGTGAGAGATTGGCCGAATTAGCAGCTCAGAAGGGTACCGTCAACACTGCTGCTATTCTTCTCTTCCCTGGTGCCATCGCTTTCCTTATGGTTAGCAGCGAATTTGCGTAAGTTCCAAATATCCATTCATGATTCTAGCTATCTAATAAGCCACAGACTCCTCCAGCGCACCTCCGTAGTAACCCTCTCGATTTGCGGCATTTTCAAAGAAGTCGTTACGATCTCCGCAGCTACAATTGTCTTCGGCGACCCTCTGACCCCTATCAACATATCGGGCCTCTGTGTCACAATACTAAGTATCGCAGCATACAATTACATCAAGATCAAGAGGATGCGCCGGGAGGCGCGAGAAGAGACTATTGAGGCAGCAGCATACGTCCCAGTTGGGGGCGGCGATGAAGAGGACGAAGATGAAGGACTGGAAGAGCGAGTGAAAGGTACAAGCATAGACGGTGGTGTCCTCGGAAACACGGAAATACAGGTTGGCGAATCGGCGTTGAGTCCTCGGTTTCCTGGGCTCTCTACTTCACCTTTGCGAGGTAGTGAGCAGACCCGATTACGTTAAACAAATAACTTTTGCGCATCCACGCACTCTCTCTGGCCAAATCATTAGATTTGTAATTCTAAACCGATTGCTCATGTCTTTTTGATATCACTATACGTATGTATATACTGTACCGGTGTGTTTTGCGGAGTTCGGCACTTGTTTCTTTCATTTTTTTTCCCTTCGCTGTATTCCTATCGCTTGGACGACTGTACTATCGGTATTGTTACCACCCCCATCGCGGAGTGACGCAGCCTAATGGTTGCTTTCAGCGCCGTTCGGTTCAGGTGATTTAAGATAGGCGAGTGATCATGTGTGCACATGGTCTGTATACCGACATGTGCTGCACCCGTCCTGTGATGAGAAGGGTTGCCGATCGGATGGAAGGGCCGAAACTGTGTACTCGGGTGTTAGGGTATTTCGTGCGCGGTGGTACAAGTTGCCACCCCCTGCCCTCTACCCCTACTTGTCAACTTAGTAACTGCCCCTGAAATTGAAGATAAATGTGACAACAATCACATGAGATGCCAAAATAACTCCATGATATTTCCACTACCAATACTACAACAATGAAAAAAGGAACTTGTAAATAGTATCCAGAAGGTATTAGGTGCTGCGAAATGAGTTGGGATTAGTAGGTGAAGGTCATAATACTGTGAGATGAAGGCGAATGGAGTTGGATGAAGATAGGACTCTATCTAAACACCGGAAGGTGAACCCGGCAATAAGTAAGTAGATAGTCAGAACTAGAAAATGGAGGAGCTAACAGAGAAGTAAATATCTATAAACGAGCAAAGGTAATAGTAGGTACAGTGCCTTGTCAGAAGTGTTCGTGAAACATGCCTTGCTAAGCAACCTCGCCAAATGCTACCTCACTATTGATTGTGATCATACCTGCAATACCTGTCCTACACCATGATAGTACCACTTCCTCTATTTAAATAATCATATCTGAGTCCTGAATTATTTGCAATGGTTAACTGAACTGGACATGCATCAAAAAAAAAAAAGTGAACTCCAAAGACCTGCAAAACAGAAATGAGCAGTATTAAAAAAGGCTTTCTCATTGGATTTTTCTACTGCCTGCAGAATATCGCTCTTGTTGCTTAAATTATTGGCCAGCCATGGACAACTATTAAAAGCTTCTGCACTTGTGCATGTAAGTGTCAATCACTGCATAATCTCTCTCCCCCCAGTCGTACACAAATTCTTAGGCAGCGATAGCATTGTACAATCATCTGGACTGTTAAATTCAACTGGAAAATGACCAGATAAGATTTCAGGGATCATTATACACTGGGTATTTCTCTCTCTACTAGTAAAACCCACTTCCTTGTACTCATTTGAGTGATAGGATATGTTTCTCTAACAAATTTATAGTTGATAGAATACTCAGAGAAGCCAATCTTAAGAAATAGCTAGCCAAAGCAAAACCAAAGCTCAAGCCTGTGCATATTGCTAAAAGATTAGACTGGGCTAAGACTCACAAGGATTGGACTACTGAGCCTTTTGAGAAAGTGATTTGAAGTAATGAGTGCAGTGTGGAGAAATCCAAGGATTCTAGGCAGCATTGGGTTTTCAGAGAACCTAGAGAGTAGTAGCTAGCAGATTGTATTCATTCAAATGAAAAGGATAAGGGAATTTTACTAATAGTATGGGGGTACTTTGGGGGAAGAGAAAGGTTCCCTTAGTTCCTATCACCCAAAATGTCAATAAGACCTAGTATTTTAGGCTCTTAAGAAAACATCTTTTTCCTGTTAGTCACCAGATGATTTCCTTTGGGATATAACTTGAAGAGATTTTTTTTCAGCAAGACAATGCTCCTGTTCAGAAGACTGATACTGCCATGGCTTGGGTTGAGAGGAATTGTATTGAATTGGTGGACCATCCCCCATACTCCCCGGATTTAAATCCTATTGATCATGTATGGATTGATGTCTTGAAAGCACAAGTCCATGAGTTAAACCAACAGATTCCAGCCCTCCAACAAGAGCTTCAGCTACAAGTTTTCACCCCCGCACCTCCATCCTCCACTCAGCCAAACCCCCTGCCACAACAAACCTGAGCCCAGAGAACGGCCAAATCTCTCCCAGTCCGCCCTCCTACCACTATGCCAAACAAGACTTTACCTGCTGAAGTTTTAACCAAACGCGATGGTACTATTGTCATTGAAAGAGATGGCACTGTCTTTTCTGATGATACCAACCACCTCCTCATTTGCGATGCGGTCAACACACTCATCAAGAAACAACTTATCTCTACTATTGAGTTTATGCCTAACTACTATGTCCTCCTTATCACTAAGGATAACACTCCTGCTTCCACTGTCCTCAAGAACTATTACTTTGTTATTGAGGAAGCTATCAGAGCTACCATTCCTGCCACCTCTGGCCTCAGAAAAGATGAAGTCTGAAATAAGGTTATCATTCACGGCATCCCTACCACCGCCGCCTTCTCCATAGTCCCGACAGAGATTGAAGCATTCAACCCCAGAACCCACCTCCTACGCCCTCCTAAATGGCTCACCACTGAAGCCCAACGCCAGAACAAAGCTGCATCAGCTAAGGTTCTCATACGTGCTGGCAAAGACTCCACAGATAAAGCCCTCAGCAGAGGCCTCGCACTCTCTGGCAGAAAGTTTAAGGTGCAATGCTATCTCACCCTTGGTCCTGACACTTAATGCTCCAGATGCTTGGAGTTTAGACACCACCGAACCCAATGCAACAAAGCCCCCGACTGCACGATCTGTTTTCAGGAACATCCAGCCCAACTCTACACACATGGAAGGTCAGACTGCCCTACCAAGGACAAACCATGTCTTCGTACAACAATCCGCTGCCTCAATTATGGTAATGATCACCTGGCTACCTTTAAGGAGTGTCCCACCTACCTACATGCACACCAGGCAGCAACTGATAGGAGGAACAACCCTGTTCAGGTTTCATTACTTTGTATTTCCTTTATTTGTCAGGCTTTAGGCAGGGAGGAGAACTTTATTTTGTTGTTTGCGCTATGGCCGGGGTGCCCAACGAAACAATGACACTATCATGTAGTAAGAGGCGGATCCATAGCCCTGGTACCTGAGAGTACCCTGATATATATAGTGCTGCTTCATAGCATTTGGCTCTATAAGCGAGATAATGAGATATAATAATAATAATAATGTATGGATTTAGCTTAAAAAGCAATTGCACCAGCAGTATCCAAGGATTGGAGATACCCCAGGAGGAAAAGAAGCTGTTAACAAGAGACTTGTACAAGTGTTACCTTTGGTTTGTAAGACAATTCCTGAGGAGTATTTTGGAAAAGTTGTGGAAATCAATACCTGATAGAGTAGCTGCAGTATTGGAAGCAAGGGGTGGTTATACAAAGTATTAGCTAGTTTTATTTATTATTTTCTTCCTGTAAAATATAAATTGTAGTTCATTGATAATTAACTGTTCATCATTGAGGGTTGATTGTTGAGGACTGATTATACTCACAGTGCAGGCGCATACTATTGACAACCCCACCATTGCCCCACCAGTTCCACCAGTCCCGTGGCACAACTGCAATAAAACATGTCTCAGATCATGAACACTTCTGACGATGGACTGTACAATATCTCATTAGGTATAAACAGATTCGCCTGGCCTCTGTCTCAGTTACAACTGTAGTTGTTGAAAAATATTTCCTAATTGGGAATAACTCAATACCAGAAAACTATCACCTCTTTTTCTGATCTGGTCCATTGAGAGTAGGGAGGAGGGGGTAGGCCACATCTTTTCTCGCCTCTTTCTAGTAGATGTCGCTCCTACTGGAGAAGAGAGTCTATGAAGGTTCTAGTTAATCCTTCTAGGAGTTGCTTTTCATTGCTGGAGGGATGGTATAATACAGCTAGAATGCATCTACAAACATTATTTCTGTATCAAGACTCCGTTGCCGTTACTACCACAGCGAAAGAAAAAACCACACCAAGTTTTTTGCCGAGCCCCCACCTCATTGGTCAACAACCAAATCTTCATGCTTCCCCACCTATTTTACAGACTTTTCATCAACAAATCATCCTCTATTATTTGTTTTCCATTACCATTTATCAACTGAGTCCTTCTCCCATCACCTCTAATTCCTCCACTGGCTAGAGGCAGAGGCAGGGGTGCTGCCAACCCCCGGGCACACCCATTTCAACCCCACCAGAGTACCCCAGCTCAAACCACGCCTGGAGACACCCACATGGATGAAGACATTCCTTCTCCTGTGGATACATTCCAGCCTCCCGCTGCTCCAAACCAACCCCCACCTGGCTCTCTACAGTCGTCCTCATAGAAACCAAACAACCCTGACAGAGACACCAACCTCTGCACCAAACTATGAGTGAGCTACCTTGAGGACTCCTTCCAATCACTTATCAACTACTTCAGCATTGTCCAGCAAAGGCACATCAGTGACACTGCTGTCTTGAAAGCACCGATTGACGAGCTCAACCAACAAATTTCACACCTATAAGAACAGCTACAACAGCAAGCCTCCATCCCCGCTCCCCCACCCCCAACAGTACCAAACCCCCCCCCTCAGCAAACCTGGGCTCAGTGGACAGCCAAAGCACTTTCTGCCTGCCCCTCTACAACCGCACCAAAAACAGCTCCGCCAGCTGAAGTTTTGACCAAACGAGATGGTATCATTGTTATTGAGAGAGATGGCACTGCCCTCCCAGATGACACCAACCACCTCCACATTCGCGACACTGTCAACATAGCTATCAAATAACAACTTATCTCTACCATTGAGTTCATGCCTAACCACCATGTTCTCCGCATCACTAAGAATAACACTCCTGCCTCCACCATCCTTAAGAACCATCCCGTAGTTATTGAGGAAGCTATCAGAGCTACCATTCCTGCCACCTCTGGGCACAGAAAAGATGAAGTCTAGCACAAGGTCATCATTCATGGTATCCCAACCACCACTACCTTCCCCACAGTCCTGGCAGAGATTGAAGCTTTCAACCCTGGCACCCACCTGCCCCGCCCTCCTAGATGGTGCACCACTGAGGCCCAACGCAAGAACCAAGCTGCATCAGCTATGGTTCTCATGATTGCCGCCAAAGACCCCACAGAGAAAGCCCTCAGCAGAGGCGTCTCCCTCTTCGGCAGGAAGTTTAAGGTGCAACATTACCTCACCTTTGGTCCAGACACTCAATGCTCTACATGCCTGGAGTTTGGCCACCACCTAACCCGATGCACCAAAACCCCACACTTTGCGATATGTTCTCAGGAACAGCTAGCCTGCCTCCACACTTGTGGAAGGGCAGACTGTCCTACCAAGAGCAAACCATACCTTCACACCACGATCCTCTCGCTCAACTGTGGCAACAATCACCTTGCTACCTCTAAGGATTGTCCTACCTACCTACACACACACTAGGCAGTAACTGATAGGAGGACCAGGGCTGTTTAGGTTTTATTACTTTGTATTTCCTTTAATTATTAGGTTTCAGGTAGAGAGGAGGACTTTTTGTTGTTGTTTGCACTTTGGCCAGGGTGTCCAAGGAAAAGATGACACTATTATGTAGCAAGAGACCCATCCACAGCCCTGGTACTTGAGAGTACCCTGATGTCTGTAGTGCCCCTTCATAGCTTTTGGCTCCATAAGTGAGACAATGACATATAATCATAATAATAATAATATTTCTGCATCAGACATATGGGCTGTATGTCTGGATGCAAGCATGTAGGATTCTGCGTCTGATATGTTCTGTGTATCCAGTAGTTAGGCACCATGTCTGGTTGTATCCTGCATATCCAGAAGCTTAGATTACATAGTTCTACATCCA